AGATCACTGATCCTCCAGGTCAAGTGAAAAAATTTGTATATCTATGGATTATGTTTGCAGTTTGTGTACTCTTTTGTTGGCTTAGATTTTTATAAAATAATAAAGAAAATAAAAACATGAAGTCTGAAAAATGAGGTAAACATGGCTGTACTGCACATTAGTAGACAAAAAACTACCCGAAAACCCCTCAAACCAACCACAAAAACCATACTTTTTTAAATAGCATTTACTGCAAATAGAAGAGTTTCACTATCTGTATAAATATGCTTTTTGAAGTGAAGTATAAGGAAGTAAGAATTTATTCCAGGTAGCTCATGTTACATGACCTTTGAAATGAACAGACCTACTTTACAGGTTATGTGTAGTTCACAGGTGTATTTTATGGGCCAGCAGCTTCTGACAGTTGCTTCCATGATGGAGACGTACGTTTTCTGCTTGTTAAACATCGAGGCTTTTCTCACAAAACTGCTCAGATTTGCTGTCCTCAGTTTCACGCCCACAAACGCAGACCCTGGCCCTGCATCGTGTTGTACTCATGAAGGTGGCATTGCTTTGCCACGTCTAAGTGCCTTTCCCTCTTTTGCACAGAATTTTTCACATGTTCTTAAGACTATCAAGGTCTGGAAGAGCCAACTTCCACTCCCGTCCTCTCCATTTCTCCATCAGCTGATACGTTTATTCTTCCCTTAAGATCTGTGTCTCAGAGTGACCCTCTCTTTCCTCTCTTCTGCTGTGCCAGGTACCCCACACCACAACTGACCCCCATGGAGCCACTGCCCATCCAGCGGCCACGACCTGCCTCCTCCAGGGACCTACATCTGCTTGGCTTTACTCTGCTAAAGGGTCAGTGTGGGATCTGCCATGACACAGCCTTTATTTTGGTCAGGATGGTTGGTAAGCATCGTAATGCTACATGTAGGTGCCTTAATGCTAGTCTGGTGGGATGATCAAGCAGTTTGCATTGAAGCTCTGGCTCTCCTTTGGTACTTTTATTCACTTAAATAGTGCAATATTCACTCCTGTATTAATTTACATTTCCTATTATATCTCTAACAGGAACTCTCTAACCAGTCATTACTTTATCCACGTTAAATGTTCATTTTACAACTATTAGTAGAACCCTACGTTCCGCCAAGGCTATATATAGTTTTAAAGGCTATTTTTGGACATTTCCCAGTTTTTTCTGTCTCCCTCTATAGAACGTGACCACTAGGTCTTGGATGGACTAACTGCACTCAGATCATTAGACAAATAACAATTTCTTATCAATCTCTCGTTGAGATTGTGCTCATTTTTTCATCAGAACATTTTTAAGCCTTCTGAGCATTGCTTGAGCCTACCACGTATAGAGCTCACTACAGTTTTCTCAGAAAAATAATCTCCTATTTTGCAGCCTGACTGATTTTCATCCAAGTACTGAAATACTGCTTTTTAGATAAATTTTACCTACCATATTTGATACTTCGATCACTTTCCTTGATCGTTTCTCAAAGATCACTGCCCTTGACTTCCATGCTTTCATTCTAGTGCTTTTGCTCATATTTTTCTGGCCATTGCACTGGTGGTTTTTGTGTGGACTTGTCCTCCATTCTTCTCCATTAGCATCTCCTGGGATTTCTGTTCATGCTCACTTGATGTTTTTGCTGTAAATCTAGTGTCATCCTTGAACAATCTCATCCATTTACATGGACAGTTAAGTGTCTGCCTGGAGGCAGAAGTTAATTACTGTATTGTGTGTTATACAAATTAGTATTGTGTCTAAGCATCACTCCACTTTTAAGGATGCTATCTGTTGGGACGCATTCCTTGCTTGGTAACAATGGGCAAACTTTCCACTTCAGGCTAAATCTCTGATCAGGGATGTTATGAAAAAGAAAATAAAATGTATTTATATTTAATGTTATGCCCCTGTGCCTGCTCGTCTGTTGCAGGAAGAAAAAGACATAGTCTATGTTTTGTTCCCTGCTTTCCTTAGAGTTCATTGCAGTGTGTTAGTCTGCTGCCAGCACCCAGGGACCAGGATTATTATTCTTCTCGTGTGGACATTTTCTTTCCTCAGCTGACTGAAAGCCACAAACTTGTCAGAGAGAAAGTCTTATATATATGTTTGTACCTCTGTCCCTTTAAAATTCATTCGTGGCAGGCGTTGCATGTAGTCAACCAGGGGAAAACATCTTTCTTTATAAAGAAATTAGGTGTGTTCCCCAAACAGTGTTTCTAACAGCCGATCTCCCATATATTATTCTAGCTGTGGCTGTGGGAATTGCATTCTTGCAGACAGCTGTGGAATGGTTATTCATGTTTCATATCTACAAAGCTGAACGTTTTGTTCCTGTTCAGGAACAGCATGGAAGACCCAGCCTGAGTTAGCTGGGAAATGACTTACAATTTCACTTGACCTGGAGGATCAGTGATCTTTGGAAGGTTTAGGGCCTCCAGAATCAACAAGTGTAAGGAGCAAAGGGCAGGTCACGCTCATATTGAAGTCAGTGGAATTAATTTTACCACCAGCAACTGAGGGAAAAAGAACCCTAAACTGCAATTATCTCCTTACCGGGATTGAAGTATTTGAATGTTTCTGTTTTCAAGTTGAAGGAAGTTTTACTCTCATCATTTATCTGATCTTCCATTTTGGTGCTGGTGTAAACATCAGGCTTCATATTTTTTTTTCCTTTTATATATGTACATACTTTCTTTACAGATTTTCCCAAATTACGGCTATTGTAGTGGCTTTTACAAATGAAACTGAAGAATCCCCTTTACAAGAAAAGAGTTAAGTTTTCTCTCTCTCCCCTTCTGGTCCAATAAACATTGATTTATAAAATGTGGAGCAGATCCCACAGGACACTAGAATATTCAGTAGCTTGATAAATACGTAGTGATCTAGGATATGGGTTCAAATATTTACTCCACAATGTTCACGCAAGCATCATTTAGATTAAGATATTTTTAATGCCTGTGTACCTGTTGGCCTCTCTCTCATTTGCATTATCAGGATGAGAAAACTGTGCTTGGGCTACCAAAGCACATTACCTGGGCAAAGTGAAGAAATCAAGTAAGATAGAAGATGACAATGTACCCTTAGGAGCTGATCTAATCTGAATATTAAAATATGCTTTGTAAAGAGGAAGCTTAGTCTTGTTTTTAGCTGGTTAAAAAGCTAACCAGCTCTGAGTGCCCCCTCACATCATTAAATGTGGCAAGACTAAGGATTTTGTTTTAAGGAATTGTTCCGTGACCTAAGATTAATGGTAATAGTAGAGGTGCTAACATGTTTGTTTGTTTATCAGGAACTGTAGGAAAAGAAGTGGAAACATTGCTACCTTGGGCCTCAACTTTTTTGTTACAGGTCAAACAAAAGAGCATGTCACCCAAGAAAAGCCTGTTCTAGACTAGAAGGTGTATGTAAGATAATCTCTTGATGGTTTAGCTGAAATGGTACATTTTTCACGTGGACAGATGCGGACACCTTTCTATGCCTGGCTCCAACCAGGCATCTACATCCCACTGTGAACTACTCTTGTGTTGGTTCATGAGCGTTCTGTGATGGGCAAAGGCCGGGAGGGTGTCCTTTGTCGCCCTGATGCCCCATAAGTCCTGGGAAGCTCCAAGTAAGCACCTGCTGGCATCTGCTGTGTTCCGGGGCCACATCCATTCACCTGCTCAAGGAAGGGCCTTTATCTCCAGGTGGATGCAAGTGAAGCTCAGAGGATCTGTACAGCTGCAGGGAAGCTTTGATTTAGGCTATGGAAGGCTTTCTTATTTAGGCTATGGAAGTTTGTGTGGTTAATTTAGGCATGAAAAAAAATAATTTCAGCAAGGAAAACAGAGAGTGATGGAGGTACCTTCCCTGAGCCCCTGTCACCAGCTGGATGCTGACCCTGCTCACGGAGTGGGGAGACCAAAACGTGCCCATGTGGGGAGAGCCCCCCTGCCCCCTGTAATGTCACCTCACTACAGCACTGTCCTGGTTTGAGCAACACAGGACTAAATTCTCCTTCACTGATTTTATTTTTCAGTAAAGCCTTTTCTAACGCTTGGGAAAACTGTACTTTTAGAAGACTCTAGTGTCTGAATTTGGAAAAATACTTATTTTTATAGCCAGCTATGGTGTTGTGGCTTTCCAAGTCTGAGGTGTGTGGATGAGGAGGGATGAGACCGGGGCACCTGACCCAAGCTGCCCACAGGATGATGTCATCCCGTGAGCGTCGCAGCCAATATAAATTAGAAAGTTTGCTGAGAAGTTCTCTCTCCCTTGGCGGCCGCCGTCCTGAGAGCTCCTTGCCCCAGAGCCCTGAGCCCTTCCCTTCCTCCTGCCGCGGCGCTGGCAGGGTCCCACGCTGCCGGCCGTGCACAGAATATAATCCTCGCATATTACATTGGTATCGGGATCAGTACTGGCTCCTTAATTATTTAGTCATAGCCTAATCAATCTGTTTGTTTCCTCGGGATTCCTTGTTTCTTCCCCCCAGTTCCCCCTCCCGGCTGGGGAGGGCTCATCAGGCAATAGAAGATAATTGCCTGAACGGCAATAAATTGCGGCGGGTTCCTCAAACCGTAACAAGCACCTACGTTTAAACCGGCGGCGGCAGCCGTTTCCCCCTCGTCCCGCGGCGCCGGGGCTCCCGTTCCCCGGGGGGGTGAGTCAGGGGGAGAAGCGGCCGGGTTTCGCTGGGCAGAACCGGGCCCTTCCCGGCCCGCAAGGCCGCGGCCCCGACGCCGTCGCTTAGCAACCGCTCTGGCCCTCCCGGCCAATCGGCGGCGCGCTCGGTAACGGCCAGCAACCCGGAAGCAGAGGAGGAGGCGGGCGGGACGGGGAGCGGCGCGGG